GGTGCCGGCTGCCCGCATCCGGGCTCAGCGTGTTTTCTAGACCATGTAGCGTGGAGTTTATTTTGGATTTTCAAGGGCAGTGTTTCCAGGAAGGAGGGGGGATTTTTCTCCCGGACGCTCATCCCTACTTTTTTTTTTTATTCCTTTTTTTAAAAATTATTTGAATTGATTTTTTAGAGAAAGAGGAAGCAAGAGGGAGCGAAGAGATAGAAACATCAATGATGAGAGAGGAGCATCATTGACCGGCTGCCTCCTGCAAGCCCCTTACTGGGGACGGAGCCCACAACCTGGGCATGTGCCCTGACCGGGAATTGAACCGGTGACCTCTTGGTTACTGAGTCGATGCTTAACCATGAGCCACGCCGGCCAGGCCACTCATCCCTCCTGGAGCAGGGTTTGGGAGCAGCAGCCCGCGGAGAGAGGAAGTGGAGAGTGGTGTGTGACCGGGGGCTGGGCAGGGCTGAGCAGGCAGGACCCAGGGCCGGGGCAGGATTGGCTGAGGAGGGCTCCCGGGCCGCGGGCACCGCACCCAGGGTCACAGTGGCCGCACCCACGCACTGCCTGCAGGTCCCGATTCCTCACGGGCTATGGCAAATTCTAGAAAACTGAAACTGGGCTTCATTTCACCAAACTGGACTTGGACAAAAACTGCCCTGAGCCAGTGCCAAGTTACTCGTGGGCTTGGTGGTGCCTCGCGGGGGACCGTGCTTTGGGGGTGCTGCCTGGCCCCTGGGGCTCCCACGAGGGGTGCAGCCACGTGTCTCACTTCCATCCAAAACGTCTGTGCTCTGAGACACCCGGCCCAGGGCGGGTTTCCGGGGCGTGGACCTCCATTATCTCACCATTTGGGGGCGTGAGCCCATCTTTTTCCGTGTAAATGCCGCCGGGGCTTCTCCCAGGCACGGTCCCGAGAAGGCCCAGGTTTAACGTGCAGTCAAGCTTGTCTAACAAATAGGACTGCGTGTCCGTTGACTATGGAAGCAGCAAAGGCGGTCACGGCCCATCACAAGCGCCCGGAGCCACATTGGCGGGCAGGCCCGGTGCTCCAGTCCCCACCCCACCCCCGGCTGTGAACGGTTGGGGTGTCCTTCCCCTCGGGGCTCCCCGCTGGCTGGGACAGGGAGCCATGCAGGGGCTGGTTGCATCTCAAACAGGTAGGCAGGGGTGGGAGGCAGGGGTCCTCGTGTGTCCCTGGGCTGTGGGCTCCTGCGGGCTCTGCAGCTGCCGAGTGGGATACATGTCGGGGTGTCTCCCCGAGGATGACGGGGCACGAGCGCCCGGGGCCAGCTCTCCCCGGGGCTCAGGGCGGCCACTGCCGGGCGGACACTGCGACCTAAGAAAAAAAAAACCCCGCAGCTGCAGCAGATGAAGGAGAAGAAGGGGCTGTACCCCGACAGGAGCGTCTACACCCAGCAGATAGGCCCCGGCCTCTGCTTCGGGGCCCTGGCCCTGATGCTGCGCTTCTTCTTCGAGGTATCCAGGTGGCGGGGGGGGGTCCGCAGGAGCCCACTTCACAGGGCCACCCTCCCAGGCAGGTGCCGGGTGCCCCCCCCATCCCT